TGCTTATAGCTCTCTTTCCTACACTTTCCATAAATAAAAGAGTCAAGTGTGAAAAAACTCAGAAGTCTTTCATTTCCCATGTACCGGTCCCTCTGTGACTTTGGGAAGGTGGTTGACCCACATTTTTTTTTTTTTTTTTTGAAGAGAAAGAAAACTATTCATACTTACTTATAAACGCAAGCGTGCTGAGTAGATTTCAAAACATCAGCCCCTGCCTGCTCATATATAAATCCCCCTCAGCACTGGAAATAGGACTAGCATTTGGAGACCATCTACCCTGGTCTGTTACCCCCAGTGGATTCATATTGCTCCAGATGGCTTTTACATTGGTTAATGTAACAAGCAGATGGTGCACAAGGGAGTGGCCAGGAGGAAACAACATATCTTTTTCCTTTCTAACTTACAAAAGGGTTGAACAAGTACAGCACTGTCAATGTCTGGGCTAATGCTTTGCAAACTCTAGTTTCTACAAGAACCCCAACCAGGGGCTGGAAAGATAGCTCAGTGGTCTAAGTGTCTGCCTGGCAAGCACAAGGACCTGGGTTTGATCCCCAGTACCACATGCTATGCCAGCCCTGGAAGCCTGGTGACCCGTGCTGGCCACTGAAACTGGGTGTGGTGGCACACACCTGTAATCCTAGCACTGAAGGGGAGGCTGAGACAGGAAGATCATTATGAGTTCAAGCTGCATAGTGAGACTCTGTATCAAATAAATAGATAAGTTAATTAACTAAAAAAGAACCTTGAATAATTTGTTAATACACAGACTGCTCTGAGTGTGGTAGAACAGCCTGAGAAACATGGCAAGACACTCACCTCCAAGAAGAAAAAAGAAAGTTAAAAAAAAAATCAAAAAACCAAATAGGTCAGACATGGTAGAAAACACCTGTAATCCCAGCTACTTTAGAGACTGAGGCAGGAAGATAAGGCCAACACCAGTGTGAGCAATTTACCAAGATGCTGTCTCTAAAAATAAAAAGAGCTGGAAACATAGCTCAGTGATAGAGAGCATGGCTGAAATTGCCACAGATTGCTGGGCTCTAACCCAGAGTTTCCTTTCAGTAAATTTGTGAATATGAGCCAAGAATTTGCATTTTTTCTTTTGCGGTATTGGAACCTGTCTTCGTTACTCTTCTCTCGTTGCTGGGACAAATACCTGACGCTCAAAATGAAGGAAGGAAAAGGTTTATTTAGCTCACAGTTACCGGAGGTTTCTGTACATACTCAACTGGCTCCAAGCCAGAGTGGCACATGGCAGAGGGCAGCAGTTCATGGCTGCGGAAGGCAGCGAGAGAGCAAAAGGGAGGAGTAGCAGCAACAATGGCTACAGAGAGTCTGTCTCCCTTATGCTGCATTCAACTCTGGTTTCTCTTCAGATCATATAAATCTTTCGCCTTATGCTGCATTCAGGCTATCTGCCCTAGGCTGAGTGTAGCACTCACATCCATAATCCTAGCAGCACTCACACCCATAATCCTAGTGGATTATGAGTTAATCACAAAGTCTAGAAGTCTACTCCATGACTGCATGAGGCTGTGGGGGGATAATTAGACACGAACCATAACAGAACTGAACACAGGTTCTTTACACTCAGCTACATCCTCAGCCCTTTTTATGTCGAGATAGGGTCTCACTATAGCACTAAATTGCTTAGGCTGGGCTTGAATCTGCAATCCTCCCTCAGTCTTCTGGAGTGCTGGGATTCCAGGTATGTACCACCATGTCTCAGTGAAAATCTACATTTCTAGGTAGTGGTGGCACATACCTGTAATTCCAGCATTCTGGAGGCAGGAGGATCACAGTAAGTTTCAGACCCATAGTGAGTTCAAGGCCAGCCTGAACTATGTAGCAAGACCTTCGAACTGAACTGAACTGAACTGAATTGAACCAAACCAAATACATTTCTGCAGTCTGATCTTTTTTTTTTTTTTTTTTGGCGGAACCAGGGATTGAACTCAGGCCCTTGCGCTTGCCAAGGAAGCGCTTATTCCACTGAGCCATCTCCCTGGCCCCAAACCAAATACATTTCTAACAAGTTCCTTAACAACACTAATGTCCCTGGTTCAGGGACCACATTTCCAGAACTCCAGACCTATACTATTAATTATTATCATTATTAATATTTTGTCTTTTTGAGACAGGGTCTCGCCCAGTTCAGGCTGGCTTTGAACTCACTTTGTAGCCCAGGCTGGTCTTGAACTTACAGCAATCCTTCTGCCTCCACCTCCCAAGTGCTGGGATCACAGATGTGTGCCACCACACCTGGCCCTATGCTATTGATTTTTAAACTTGGCTATATGTTAGAAATTGTCTGAACAGTTAAAAAAGAAATGAAGTTTCCAGCACCACAAGTGAAACAAAATGAAGAGCCAGCTACTACACCCAGAGCTAATCTCAGATCAATCTCAACAGAATCTATGTGGGTATTGCTAGACCTAAGTGTTGTTAAAGATTCCCATGTGATTCAGAAAAAAGAAAAAAAAAAAAGAGTTAACTTTTTAGAGTTAAATTTCTATAGCTAGCTACTCCCCTGAGCAGGTAAGTCTTCCTGTCTTCCACCAAAGCCAGGTACATATTTCCTGTATCTAACTGATGGTACCCTGAACTCGTATGTTATCTCAAGCACTTGCTTCCTAAAATTCTGAGCTTGCCCTCATCCTGAACTATATGCTTCCCATAACTCCAAACTTGCCCAGAGTTTGAACTTGTCTTACTATGCAACATAAAGGATGTAATTTTCTCTTAGTCCAATCAGTAATAATGACATAAGATGTAATCATTGCCAAATGCTTGGCTTCTGTACTTCCCTCTTACCAACTCTGTATAAGTGCTAACCTACCAGAGATCAGGGACTGACAATTTTTGAAGTATGGCCCACCCATGTAAACAAATCTTCTTCCAGGGCCAGCGAGATAGCTCAGTGATCTAAGCGCCTGCCTGGCAAGCGCAGGGACCTGGGTTCGATCCCAGGCAACACATGCTGTGCTGGCCCTGCCCCAGGTGCGCTGCACTGGCCACCGAGTCCAGATATGGTGGCACATGCCTGTAATCCCAGTGCTGGGGAGGCTGAAACAGGAGGATCACTACAAGTCCAAGCTACATAGTGAGACCCTGTACCAAATACATAAAAATAAATAAAATAAGTAAAATAAATCTGCCTCCTCCTCTGAAATATCCTGAGAGATATTTTGGTGTCTGTTTGCCACTGCATTTCCAATGTGCAACAGCCATGATGGAGGAGTACTCTTGAAGCTCTTGAAGCAGATGCCAATTAATAACTGTACTAGGTAAGTCAGACTCAAATGTCTTTCACTCTTAATTCTGAGGCAGAATACATTTGTAGTCTGCATATCTTTCGCTGGGATGAATACAGCTGCCAATGACTGTGATAGAAATTGATTCCTCTTGGCTCATAGCCTAGAGAAAGGCCTGAGCAGAATGAAAGTTGAAACAGCAACCATGGAAAATGGTAGACAAGCTAGTAGGGAAAGCGGAAAGGATTCCTGGGCATAAATTCAGGACTTTTGAAAAGCAGAGACCATAAAACTGTATCAGGGGTCTTCTCCAAGATGTAGTTTTTCTACCTTTTTACAGCCTGGACAAGATAGATATTTTGACTGAATCAAGTTTGACAAACTTCCTAGGCAGTGATAGGCGGGCAAGGGAATTAAGGATATTGGTGTGAGGGTAGCTAAAGTGAGGTGCCCTGGAGTCTTAATGATGACTCAGAAAGTTTTTCTCTCTGCCAGGTTGTGTACTGGATCTATAACACAATATTTCCTTCTGCAAGTAGATGTTTACAGAATTATGGAGAGGCAAACACACAAACAGACCCTCACCACTGGGGCAAAGAGGTGACCTGGAGTTGGGCAATCACACCACCTCTTTTCCTCTGGTTGGTCTTGCAGTGAGCACCTTACCCAAACAGGACCAATGATACAGTCTCTCCGTGCACTTTGATACTTGGGAGGGATGCTATAGTTTGAGGCAACATTAATTGCGATGCAAGGCTTCAACTTGAAAGCCGAGACACTTGTGCAGTTATACACAAGAGGAAGTAGTAAGTGCGCAGGTTCTGAGGCATGTGTGGGCCAAGTTTGTTCAAGGGAGCTATGAAGGCCAGTGTAGAATGCATTTCCATTGCTCTTTCTCTAACTCTTCTGTGTATATTACAAAAGTTTCCTAATTTGTAATATTCTCAGTGTTTTATGTTTTCATATCAATTTTCCCTTTATGATTTTTTTTTGTACCAGGAATTTAACTCAGGACCTTGCACGTGCCAGGCAAGCGTTTGTTCGGCTGAGCTACATCCCTGGCCCTCTCTCCACCTCGTACAACTAGGTAATTCATACATAACGTTCAGATTTCTGTCCAAACATCACTTCCTCAAGCCCTCCCTGACCTTAGAGCAGGTCTCCACACTTCTAGATGATCAGCCTGTTCCTATGAGGTCGGTGTGTACCAGACTCACAGAACTCAGCAAAGGGAGCAACCGGCCAAGAGAGAAGCGGAAGAGCGGCGTCCGCGGGTCGCGGGAAGGTGAAGCGATTCCCGACTCGGCCAGCCCGCAGAAACGCTTCGGGAGCGACACCAGCGCGCAGAGCGGCAGCTCACGGGCGGAAGTGCATCCCCCGAGCCGTTCTAGGAACCCCGGAGGACTCAGCTCGTCAGTAATCCGGGGCGCAAGTGAGTATTGCCCGGCGTACAGAGGTAGCCTAGGAAGCCGGCGGGGAGGCGATGGTGAGACGAGGCTTGGGTCTGTCAGAGAACGCGCGGAGAGCAACGCGGGAACAGACCGGGAGGCTCGGCTGGGGCCACCTGTTCATCCAGCGAGTGCGGCTCGCGCTGATTGGCTGGAGAGCCGCCCGGGTACCGGAAGTGGCTGAAGCCCGTCGCCCGTGACACCAGACAACAGCTAGGGTTCTGTGAGACGGCGGAGCGGCGCCGGCGCCCGAGCGGAGCGAGCGTGGGGCTGTAGCGGCGAGCGGTGAGGTCTCGATCTGTCATGGCCGGGAGGAGGACGGCACTGGGCTCCCCATTCCCCAGCTTGTGAGAGGAGCAGGAGCCCTAGGTCTAGGCCGGGTTCTTACGCGGGCTTGCTGTGTGACCTTGGACTTTTTGACTACACCCGGGCCTCTGTTTCCCCACTTGCACACCGAGAGGTGGGGCCTGGACACTTCCAGGGATTGTCTCGGTTCTGGTTCAGTGCCTGTCAGCCGCAGGAACCTGAGAAGCAGGGTCCAACGCGGGGACCCATGGGAGCTGTGCGTTTTCCATCCTCAAGTACACCGCTCGGATGAGATGGGGGGGCAAAAACTAAGGACCCCGTAGCAGATTGTACCCTGTACTGGCAAACATAAGATTGTTTATAAAGCTTAGTTATGGAAAGGAAAGTGGATACCAGAAGCAACACAGAGAAGGACAATATTGCCTTAAATATACGGATTGGGAGAAGGGACTTTACAAATAGTTATGTGTCAGCCACTGTCCTTGGCACTTTAGGTACAAAGATGAAAGAAATCTGTAGTTAGCCCTTAAAAGTAGATAAGATTCTTATACAAATTCACTGAACAAACATTCACCGAGTACTGTATGTGTAATGTGCTAACTAGTGGGAAAGCCAAGATGAATAGAAGGTCATTCTTGCTTATAGTCTAGAGAAGAAAATACACATGAAAGTAAGAATGCATTGGGGTAACTGCCACAAGATGAAGAGGTATCTGTCCTAGGGATTGGTGGTCAGGAAGAAAATAGAGGGGAATGGCCATGCTTCAGCTGAGTCCTTGAGATGTTTAAGTGCATAGGGTGAGCAATAATACCAGGTCATGGGTATAATTTGTTCTCAAAGGCAAAGCAACCTCAAAAAATAAGAAGTGTTTGAATGTGGAGGGGGCATTGATCATAACTGCAGCTTTCAGCTGTTTTAGAAGTATGTGGTGAAGGAGGTGGGGAAGGAAAACATCTGATCACATGGGTCATACAAACTGTATTAGACGTTTTTGTTCAGGAGGCTTTGGGGAGCACTAAACAGGAAATGACATGAAAATTATAGTACAAAAAAGGAGGTGAGAAGATGGTCACTGAAATCCTGATTCAGGAGGCCAAGAGAAAACCTCCTTCTTGTGTATGTTACTGAAGATTTTGGGAAGGAGGTGATCCTTGTACTGAACATCTAGTATTTGGTGACTTTGCCTTTCAGAAGACAGAACATTTGTATCAGTTAATATTATTGTTTGTAAGTTACAAAATCTAATTAAAGGTAGGTTAAAATATGCAAGCGTATAAATTCTCACCTGTGCATGGTGGCACACACCTGTCACCTCATTATTCAGAAGGCTGAGTTAAGAGAATTGCTTTGAATTAGAAGCCAACTTTGGCTACATAGTTAAAGGCCTGCTAAACTTCATAGTTAGACCTTGTCGTGTTTTTTTGGTTGTTATTGTTGTTTTTTGTTTTTTGGGTTTTTTTTAGATAAGGTCTTGCTTTGTAGTTCAGGTTGGCCTCAAACATGAAGCAATCTTTCTGTTTCAGCCTCCTGAGTTCTGATATTACAGGTGTGTGGCAACACACCCAGCTGAGACCCTCTTTTTTTTTTTTTTTCTTTATACTAGGACTCAAACCCAGGACCTTGTACTTGCCAGGCAGGCAATATGCCACTGAGCTATATCCCCAGCCCCTGACCCTGACTATTAAAAAAGGAATGAAACACAAATTATCTTAGATTAGAAGTCAAGAGGTATAGCAGTTTCAGGACAATCCAGTAGGTTTGGCTACATTTCCAATTTTTTTTTTTTTTGGTACTGGGGATTGAACTTGGGACCTTGTGCTTATCAGGCAGGCGCTTATGCTAGTGAGCTACATCCCCAGCTTCCCTTAATATCAGGTGCTTAAGTCTGGTAAACTATCTCACCAGCCCCCCTTAATATTTTTTTAAGCTCTACCTGCCTTTATCCCCAGGCTGATGATGGTAGCAGCATGTCCAGCCAACAGTAGAAGTCTCTTCTTGTGGTTCACAAAATGGCAGAAACTATTCCTAGACTTCCTTAAAATATTGATCTGGGGGTGGGGGGGACCTACCCCTTAGCTCAGTTCTTTAAGTGGCTGCTTCAACATAGCAGTCAGGCTCAGGTTGCTGTGTTTCGATCCCTACAACTCAAGCCAGCCAAACCTGCCCTGAAGGCATTTGGAGAAAAAA